AAAAAAAAAAAAAAAAAAAAAAAAAAAAAAAAAAATCTCTTAAGGAATCTCCAAAACACTATAAAATACTTTTTTCTCTCAAGTCATTAAGTCCATTTCAAACATTGACAATTGTCTCAAAAATATCTTTTGTAATAATATCATCCCCAAGATAGAAACACCATCTTCTGAGCTGACCTGTTCTGACGGGGCACACCTGCAGACACTTGCCTGTGGTGTTACTGAGATGAGTCAGCCCTGCTGCTGTGCCCAACCCTTCCCCAGCCCCTGTGATTTGCATGCTCCCAGAGCACAGCCCACTGTCCTGAAGACTTATTCACAGGCTGCTCAAACCTTGTGCAGGAGTCAGTCCCAGTCAGGACACAGCATAGACATGAGGACGCCCATTCAGCTCTTGGGGCTCCTGCTGCTCTGGCTCTCAGGTAAGGAGAGAGAACACCAGGAATTTACACAACAAGTGTGGTCAGTGCTGCCTCGCTCTTCAGGGAAGTCCTATTGTAACATGGTTAATTATTTGTCTTTGTGTTTCCAATTTCAGGTGCCAGATGTGACATCCAGATGACACAGTCTCCAGAATCCCTGTCTGCATCTGTAGGAGACTCAGTCACCATCACTTGCCAGGCCAGTCAGAACATTGGCAGTTTATTAAACTGGTATCAGCAGAAACCAGGAAAATCTCCTAAGCTTCTAGTCTATGCAGCATCAAATTTGGACACTGGGGTCTCCTTGAGGTTCAGTGGCAGTAGATCTGGGACAGATTTCACTCTCAGCATCAGCAGCCTGGAGCCTGAAGATATTGCAACTTATTACTGTCAACAGTATTATAATATCCCTCCCACAGTGATACAAGTCATAGCATAAACCCCACAGTGTAGCAGATGTGTGATGCTGCCCCATCTGCTTCTTCTGGTTCCTTCATGCTGAGAGCATTTCTGAGAAGCAGGCACACTTTGAAGGTCACTTTTAGGTTGTGATAGAAGGGACCAGGAAGGCTCTTTTGCAGCCTAATTCTCTTTCTCCTCCTCTGCTCCACACCACACACTTGAAAATGTCTCTCTTGATTTCATTAAGGACAGAGTTTACACACTGGTAAGTCTGAGTTACAGCATCAGTTGGGATTCAGTCAGAAGTAGAGAGTCACTCTGGATACTCCAAGCAAGAATTGTTTAAATAGAGGGAATTAGAGTCTACAGCACAATCTTACAGAGCATGAGGTGTGAAGTAAGGAAAGCTTGATCCTAGACACAGCACATACTCTAGTGCTCCACCAGCAGCCAGAGCACACCTGCCACTGTAGGTGTGGGCTCGTCAGTCCTGTCTGGGAAGCCCAGGCATGGGGGTGCTGATGCTCTCAGCTGCCTGCAGAACCTCATCACGTGACCCTCCAATCCTCACCTCTGTCTGGCTAAAGGTGCTGATGGAAAGAACTGAGTCCTCCTCTTTTGATTCTCTGATCTCATGGAGGGTACCTCACGGAGACGCTGTGGGGCTGGAGAGTCCCAAACAGTGCCCTTGAGTATCTCCTGTGGGTTGGGGCTCCCCAGTTTTGCCCAAGGTCAGGACCACAAGGGCATCCTTTCTCCTGCTTCCTTTACTGCTGAATTCCCAGGGCCAAGACAATGTCTAGTGATAGTGGGTGTTCAACAAGTGTTTGAATGAGTCAGTTGATCGATCAGCCAATGGGAGGGCTGACCTGGATGAGCAAAGAGCTGAGCAGAACAAACTCCCCACTTTGCCTATTAAATATCACAGAATTAATTAAAAGCTGATTTTTACTGCAGTCATTTTGGACATCCCTAGGAAATCTCTGTCTCTCTCTGTCTCTTTCTCTCTCTCTGGCATAAAACCTACCCTTCCCACCCACTTCTTGAATTAAAGGCAGTGAAAAGTATGGGAAAGGGTATGGGCATTGGGGTGAGAAATTCCTAAATAAATACAGATTCCTTCCCATTCCGGTACCTTTGTTTCCTATTTTGACCATTTCAGAAATTTCTTAAAAGATGCTTGTTGGAAACTCACCCAGCTTTATTTTCCAATAAATGCAAAATTACAGTGGAGACATTTTTAAGATTTAAAGGTTGAAAACATAATTATTTGCCTATGGAATGATCAAATAGCTTGATAAATAAATGGAATAAATGTTTTTAGAAACTATAAGAATTACCAAGATGAATACAAAAAATTAAGATTTGTGCATTGGTGGTAGAGATTACTGGATTTAAATATGCCTGTTGTTAAAGTTTATAGAAGGTCATTTGCTTGGACTGAGCTCCTGCATGAAGAGCTCAGCAGATCAAACCAAAATGGAGTTCGTCATGCTAAAGTTCCTCATCACCAAGCTGAATCTAAGTAGCTTACCTACCCTTTATAAGAAAGTTCCCCCTGCTTTCACCTTTACTAGGAGAGTAACTTTGAAACTGAAAATCCACTTTCTGTTCTCTGTTTCTGCTTTCCTCACCTTTTTACTTTTTATGAAACCAACCACCGCTTTACAGCTCATCAGAACACTCATTCTGTTTTATAGAATGTGGTTTTGCCCAATTCTAGAATCGCAAATAAAGGCTAAGTGAGATCTTTAAATTAATTTTTTTTGTAATTTTATCTTTTGATACTGTGCAGCTTGATTCGGGGGCTTTGTTACCGCCATTTTTCATCAGAATGTTGTGCCATGGGTCCTCACTGCACTTCAGCCATGGCCCCAGATCAAACGTAATCCATAGGATGGAGACAAGTGCAGCAACCTGCAGCAGAATCATCCAGCTGAGCCCTGCCTTTATCAGTGAGATCATTGTTAACATGGGCATCTGTAAACATGGAAATAAATGCTTCCTACTATAAGCCACTCAGTTGTGAGCAGTTTGGTCACCAATAATTATTGTGCAAAAGCTAACCAGTACAATATTTACATCCACCCATATAGATGTACTTTATCAAAGTTGATAGCATAGATATAAGTATTTAAAAATTCATTAGTAAAGATATTAAGAAATGATTAAAGAAGAAAAAACTAAATAACTTTTGAATCAAAATAGTAAATTTAATCATAATTATATAAAAATATGCATGTAAGTATATGCCATACTTATCAGTGCATATATTAATATTGAGAAAATTATTGTCTGTATATACATATGTAAACATATATGCATGTCTAAATAAGATTGTTTAAGTATATATATATATATATATATGCAAACTATGCATAAGTAAAAATATTATGTTAATTATATGGTTTAAGATGTTTCCTCTTCCTCTTACTTTCCATCAAAATTTGATGTCTAGGAACAGATGAAATACCTTCTCTAGTTACAGAATTTTTTTTTGTAATATTTATTTCTAAAATGTTCACCAAATGGGTATGTTAATCTTAAATGTTTTTCTACCTCAGAGGAGGACCAAAGACTATGAATGAAATAACTTTGCCTGATGTTAAGAATTAAGTCATTGTGTCCTATGAAAGTCCTCACTATATGTATGTCCCAAATAATGCTATGCTGGATGAAGTCCTCCTAACAGTGGAGGGTGGACTGATGTCACATCATTACCATAACCAAGGATGCCCTAGAACAATGAAAATCACAACAGTGGGTAAACTCCAAGATTTATATCTAATGGTCACTTTGCAAAGAGTGATAGGTAATTCAATGACATTGACTATTGGTTTTTATAGATTGTATGGCCCTAGAAGAAATATAGCTGAAGGCTTAGAGACATAACCTTTTTGAAGAGCTATGACTGGTCCATTCAAAAATGGGCCAAGCTTAAACATAAATGTTTTCCAAGTGAAAATGTGTCTGAGGGCCATTATTACTGAGTAGGGGCCTTTGACTAACTAAGATGACCCAATACACAGACCTCTGTCAGTTACCTTTCCAAGCTTATCCACTGAATCTCATAAATCAATGAACCAATGTCATGGAAGGCCATAGACACGCTCAACAATGTTATTTCAACTAACTTAGGCTCACATGGCCACTGGCAGTTATGAGTATCCAACTTGCCAAGAGAAATGACTCCTCCTGAACCTTAATATTGTTCCACACACCAGGAATCAGATGAACAACTGCTGGCCTGTTACTTGCAGTGGACCTCACCCAACATGAGGAAGACAGTGACGGTTCTCCTGTACAGGCTTAACTGCTTTCATTGGGCTTGGCCGATAATGTGTTTTTTACAAATTGAAGGTTTTTGGCAACCCTGTGTCAAGTCGATCGGTCCTTTTTTAAAAAAAAACTACAGCATGTGCTCACTTCTTACCTCTGTGTCACGTTTTTGTAATGCTCACCATATTTCAAACTTTTTTATTTTTATTATATATTTTACGATGATCTGTGATCAATAATATTTGATGTTAGCAATGTAATTATTTGGGGGTAACATGAATCATGCTGATATAAGAAGGTGAAATTAACTGACAAATGTAGTGTGTGTTCAGACTGCTCCACCGACTAGCCGTTCCCCCATCTCCCTGCCTCTCCTCAGGGGTCCCTGTTCCCCAAGATACAGCAATATTAAAATTAGGCCAAATAATAACCCTACAATGGTCTCTAAGTGTTCATATGAAAGGAACAGTCACACATGTCTCACTTTAAATCAAAATCTAGATGTAGGGCCGGCCTGGTGGCACACTGCTACAGTGCGCCGCTTGGGAAGTGTGGCAGCGCTCCCGCCGAGGGTTCAGATCCCACATACAGACCGGCCGCTCACTGGCTGAGCGAGATGCGGGAGCAAAACCAAGGGTTGCGATCCCGTTGCCGGTCTCGGTCCGGTACGGGCACGACACTGAGGGTTGCGATCTGTTGCTGGTCACGAAAAAAGACAAAAAGGGAAAAAAAAAATCTAGATGTAATTTAGCTTAGTGGGGAAGGCATGTCAAACACTGAGATAGGCTGAAAGCCAGGCCTGTGAAGGCAAAAGAAATGTTTACTGACATTGTAGAGGCAGAGAGTAGAACAGTGGTTACGAGAGGCTGGGGAGGGGCAAGAAAGGGGGTAATAATAGAGATTGGCCAATGGTTATAAAATTACAATTAAATGGGAAGAAGAAGGTCGGGTATCCTATCTCATAGTAACGTGACTATGGTAAATGGTAAAGCACTGTATATTCTGTAACAGCTAGAAGGGAGGCTTTGCAATGTACTCTCAGAAAAGAAATGATAAATGCATGAAGTGATGGATCCACTACCTTCCCTGACCAGATCATTTTACAATACACATATATATCAAAACATAAAATAGTACTCCACAAATATGAACAATTACAATATATCAATTAAAGTAAATTGATTATTTTTTAAATGTTACTCCAGTGAACATGCAAATCATAAGAAAATGAAACAGGTTTACTGCTGATAAAGAGAAAATTGTAGTTGTATGTATAGAAGATCAAACCATCCTAAAAATTTCCAAAGCCAAAGCCTATTCTAGAGCAAGACCCTAACACTCATCAGTTCTGTGAAAACTGAGAAGGATGAGGGAGCTACAGAAGGAAAGTTGAAACTAGCAAGGGGTGGTTTGTGAGATTCAAAGAAAGAAGTCCTACCCATAATATAAAAGGGCAAAGTTAAGC